ACCGAAATACACTCGCACGGCCAATTCTCACCAACACCAAAACGTGTCTCGATATACATGTAACCGACCACCATCTCGGAAGATGGCCGCGCTATTTCAGGCAGGCTAGCTAGTGCCATATAGCAAATCAGGATCGTATAACACGTTTGAATTACCCTGTAGATTGCGATCATTTTAATTGATACGCTATAAAATTCATTTATAGCCCATTTTTTTCTACAGCATTTTAAGTTGAATGCTTTGATAGATGATGACAAATTTCGTTGATGACAGGAAGAAAGGACAGATGACATTGAAGAAAGGAATGCAAAGTTTGTTGCTTATTTTTTACAATTGGCATCGACAGGCAAATATCACGCTACAATTGTGTAAATTAAAGCCAGCGCTGTGTCATCATTTCTATGTAACAGACATGTGCCAAGATAATTACCGTTTTATATTAAATTACTCTATGTTTAATTCTGCATTGTAACCATAATCTACTGAAAGAATATCATCAGAAATCATCGATTATGTCGCAAATGTTTTATAGATTACGTGTAATAAATACAAAATTGTCCGATTTGACGCAATTTACAAAATAATGTGTGTGTGCAAATGTATTTATATATAAACATTTAAATGAAGAGCGTTAAATAATTAAGCACTGAACTGATAAGATGTCAAATTGTATCCATAATTAATTCGCATTCTGGAATCGACTGCAAAAAAAAACGACTTTTTGATAATCTACATTACTGGCAGATAATTTGCGCCAAATTAACACTTACTAAATCGTATATTTATTAAACAAATTAATTTTCATAAGAGCATCGTCAAAAGTCGCGGCACAATTATTAAATAGTGCAAATTAGAAGCTCGGCAATAATTAATCTGGGTCGTTGCTGATGGATACGCGAATCGATACATAATGGCGTGATCCATTTTTCCGCGATAATGTCGCGTAGTTCGGTTAACGTTTCTATTGGATTTTGCAGCGTCTTGACAGTTATGTTGAAGCATCAGCTCGAAATTCATTAACATTTCGAGAGACCATCAAATTTACGGGATTTTTCGTGAAAATGGCCTTTCATTGTGATAAAAATATAAAAAATATTACTATTATATATATATATATATATATATATATATATATATATATATATATATTTCGAAAGTTAATTAAAATTTAATATAAAAATGATATTTTACATACGAGTGCAATGTGTGATATGCATGCACTGTACAATATATGTACATAGATTATGTAAACGTGCTTATTTGTATCTGTAGAAATAAGATATACGATATAAAAAGCTTGAACTATAATGATATAACAAATGAAATTTACACGAGACAATTGAATAAATGCAAATTTTTTAAATGAGAAATGACTAATAGAGAATATATATATATATATATATATATATATATATATATATACAAATTGTATAAAACGAATAAGCATTCTTAATCTCATTGTCAGAGATAAAACAGGAAATGAAAAAAGAGATAAACTCTTTAAAAGAGATAACTCTTTTATATGCACTTATATATATATATATATATATATATATATATATATATACACATATATCTACTTATATATACTCTTAACTTACTCTTATACAAGAGTGTATCAGAATAAAAATCTATAGAAAAATGAGACAATTTTTAAAAAAACTGATATGCGTGGCGGATCTTGGGCGTTCTAGAAATAACAATACAATAGTAAATGTTATATACCATTAATCGAGTTTTAGAAAAAATGTTAAACAAACACTCACTATCCCGACTCGATAATTTATAATGTAATACATTCAAACTTTTAATTTTTTTTTGTAACATTCAAACTTTTAATTTTTTTTTGTAACATTCAAACTTTTACGTTCAGACACAGACACGCATCCCTCCCCCATCCACATACACACATACATACACATTTATACATATGTAACATACCAAAGTCCGAACGCTTTTCGGTCTTAACGGTACATTGTATCATTTACAGTTTTCAATCATGCCGATCAAAAAGATCAATTGTAAACATCCGACAAGCATTTAAAACTGGCACTGTCGCTATCGTGAAAATTTTGAAAATTTGTATACATTGGCATCTTACAAGCGCCAGAAACTGTCGCGCGTGTGACCCACTTGTTTAAACGCTAGCGAAATAATATTCCGTTGTCGCGAAGAGGGGAGACGCCTGGCGTCGCCATATATAGAATATTGCGCCAACCAGCGCTGTTGTGCCTTAATGACAGATTTTTTGACGAAATAAATTTGCGGAAATATTTTACAAAGAGAAAACTTGATAAAAAATGAAATAGAAGAGAAAATTTCCTAACTTTCAATATAATTAATTTTGACGTAGATTTCTTTCAATGGATTAATAAAAATAAAAATAAATAGTAATGACGGAATACCTTGTACATACACACTCACATCTAAAGTGTATTGAAGAGTGACTAAAAAATAAATCATGATGCATACTCCAGTGCAATACCCTAGTCATTGTGCATTGGAGCAATTTGGTATATGTATATACCAATAAACATTGTCAACCTATTCAATGTGAAACATTAAATTATTAATATAATAAAATTCTTTCAAAGGAATAATATGTATCCATGTTATAATAAAATGTCTCGCTAGTTATATATCGATTGATATGTTGAATTATAGAAACGATATTATAGAAACGAATTATAGAAATAATATTAGATAATAAAAGTTGGACATGTATCATCTGCTAAAAATTAATACATACACATATATATCGTGACAAACTTGTTCCAGAATTACACACACACACACACACACACACACACACACACACACACACACACTCTCTCTCTCTCTCTCTCTCTCTCTCTCTCTCTCTCTCTCTCTCTCTCTCTCTCTTTCTCGCTCGCTCGCTCGTTTTTTCGCGCTACTTTGCTGCAATTTTTACTTCAACAGGACGAGTATACGATCTTTCACAGTTTTTCGTCGATTTGGAATTCACGTATTTATCGAAAAAGCACGAAACCATACGTACACTGAGCGCATTCCATCCCTGAACGGACGCGCGTAACTACTTGCTTCGTGACTCATGCAAGACATTTCGAAACATGATCACGTTTTGGCAAAAACAATACGTCTTATTGCCGAACGTAGGAAACTCATCATCTACAATGTCGACTAATGTGTAATTTCTGGAGAATGGCAATAAATTTTTCGCATTTTATTAAACTTTTGCTCGACTAAATTATAAAGTATAAATGTATGTCTTATAAAAATGTAATCTTTATTGCCGTATTGAACGAAACCGCTTGATCTTACATTCATATCGATAAAATCAAATCTCGTAAAGAGAGTTATTACAAGCTTAAATTATTTTATCGGTTCTAATAGACAGGATGACTGGCAGGAGCGACAGGTGTACGTGATCGATGAGGGAAAATGATTCGGTCGATCGGCGATGATGGTACATATCCTTCGTTTCTATTCCATTAAATTATATATCGATCATCTATCGTAGGTACTTATCAAGGTCAATGGCTTCGCGGCATGCGGCACGGATACGGAGTAAGGGCAAGCGCGCCGTTCGGTTTGGCGAGTCACTACAAACCACCGAAACAAATTAGGGCATCCTTGACGTCGTTGAGGAGCGCCGACGGTGGACCGCTGGTCGCTCCGACGCCAGAACCCACCGACAAAAGGGACCGTCGTGTAGATGACAGTCGAGGAGGATTCGTTCTAAAGGCCAGAAGCGACGATCCACCCGCCCGAAGAAAGAGCCTTACCGAGAAATCTTTGAAGAAGGGCATTCTTTCAGTAAGAAGTCTGTCGGAATGACGGAAAATTATTCACAAAGTTCTTATCATTCAAATTGGAGCATTATCTAGAGGAATGTTCTATCGATACAGGGTCTCAAAATACGAAAGCAAAGAAGTACGGGGGATTTGGAGAAGCGTGGTACCGGTGGCAGCATTAGGAGTAACGCCAGCTCCGCGTCATGGATGTCGACGGAGAGCTCGCAAAGTCAAGCATCGGCGTCGGTTCACACCGACAGTAATGCGTCCTTTGTCATCGAGGTGGGTTATTTTCTTTCAATCAATCTTTTTTGATCGCTCGACGAGACAAATCGGATCTTTGAAACTTGCTCCTCGCGAGCATCAAATTTGTTTATTACCGACGAAAGGAGGACACACTATTTTTTAAGTAAAAATTAAAATATAATTGAAATAACAATTAGTCTATAGTGTCCGGAATGACTTACATTGACGTCGCGCGACCGATTGATTTGCAGGACGAGCAGATGGACGCATCGGTAACAGAGACGTACTTGGGCGAGTGGAAAAACGATAAAAGGACCGGCTTTGGCATATCCGAAAGAAGCGACGGTCTGCGATATGAGGGCGAATGGTTCAACAATCGCAAGTACGGTTACGGCGTGACGACATTTCGCGACGGTAGTAAAGAGGAGGGAAAGTACAAAAACAATGTGCTCATCACTAGCCAAAAGAAGAAGCATCTCTTCTTAATCAGATCCGCTAAATTTCGCGAGAGGATAGAGGCGGCGGTAAGCGCCGCTCAGAGAGCGAGCAAGATCGCCTTGCAGAAAGCCGACATTGCCATCTCCAGAACGGCAACGGCACGAGGAAAGGCGGAATTGGCCGACATAGCCGCCGAACACGCCAGGGAGGATTCAGAGTTAGCCCAGCAAACGGCGAGACAGTTTGCGCCGGATTTCCGGCAACCGGGTTTGGAAAGGTTGCGAAATCGAGAGATACCCAAGTACATGCCCCCGCCTCAGGACTCCGTGCCTGGTAAAAGCATCCTGCATAAGGCAGCCAGCGTGGATCAGCCCGGCGCTACGCCGATTAAGACCGTTGACTCTATAACGACGGCGATGACGACGACAATCGCGACAACGACAACGACGACGACGACGACGACGGCGACGGCGACGATGATGATGGGAACGGCGATGGGGATGGGGGTGGCGGCGGCGGCGGCGGCGGCGGCGATACCGACCGCAGCGAACATTACCATCGGCAGTGTAATGCAGTCGATACGTAGAGCCAGCATGAAATCGCTACCGCAGAATCAAATGCCGCCGGTGCAAAATCAAATACCGAATCAAGTATCACCCGTTTCATCGATGAATCAATCATCTATGAACCAGTTCAGCGCGCAAACTTCTCCGACTGATCAGAATCCGTATCAACAGTACTCTCAAAATGTGTCGCAGAATCCAGCTCCAACGAGCCAGTATCCAAACAGTATACCGAACCAATATCAGCCGAATCAGTATAGCCAGCAAAATCAATTTCTTCACGGCAGTCCGTACCAATCGCAATATCATCCGCAGGCTAATCCATTGCAGATCGATCAATATTCCAGTTATCAGCAGCAGCAACAACACCAACAACAATCTATCGGGCCGCAAAGCTTTCAAAATTTGCAGGCTTACCCTAATCAACAGGTGACTTTGTTCGCTATATTGTCTTTTGCGTGGCATCTTTTCCTTTTCCTTTTCAACTTTCGACAACTCGATATCTACTTGCTTATGCGTGCCTACACCACTTCATTTTTTTTCTTTTCCTTTTAGGCTTGGTCGCACCTGAGACTATACAAGATAAAATATTCGCTCGAATTAATATATGACGAATAATATTATAGTTTTATCAATATATTGTACATGTATAAGCAAATAAATGCGTTTCTCCGCGGGAGCATGATGATTTCACACACGAGCTTTGTACGCGCTTAATCGCATATAACGATATTAATGATTAATGATATCAATGATATTGTTACTAACGTTTAGATAATGTCTATAACAATTTTTTTAAACGTATGCTGTTTTGTACGATAATGATATTGATTGAACTCGAAACGTAGGTTACATATTTTTTAAGCCTTTAAACATATAATTGCAAATTATTAAATTAAATATAATAATACAATTATATACCCATATATCCGCGTTTCTTTTCAATCAAGTATGTATAGTAAAATAATAATAATAATAGTAATAGTGTAATGATAATATTACACTCGATTCTTACTAATTCGATAAGCCTGCAGAATTTGAATAATCTTTTACAACGCACACATACCAAACATTGGGACAAATACATGATTTTTCGGCGATTTATATTTCATCTGTCCAATTTAATGTCGTTAATTTCTGGAACAGTTAATGCGAGTTATTCATAATACCTTGTACCCTTTATCTCAAAAACGCATGCTGAATATTGTAATTTTTCGACAAAGTTTCAAATATGAATAATATCCGTTCATATATTTGTTCCGTTATCGAAATAAATTTCAGCAGTTTCTCGTTTACGAAAGATCACTAAAGCTAAAGTGAAATTTCAGACGACAGTACCTTACCAATATGGGCCTGGTCAGGTGAATCAATATAATTCGCAGCCGGCATACATGCAGCAACAAACGCATTCATCGCAATATCAGCCTGATGGAATCGGAGATGCGGCGAGACCATCGAGCTCTACAAGTTTAAGAAGAAACAGTCGAGTTCTGAGTCCTCAGGATCGACCCGGTACCATTGGTCAAACATTAAACGATAGGTGAACCGAGATGTCTTTTTATCCAGCTAATTGCTTCAAAAAGTTTTCAGATTTAAAAAATGCTATACAACTTACCGAAGCATCATGGTGTAATCACACATAAAGGAAAATAATATTAGAAATAGAAATTTAAAAAATATTTTTTTGCGTACTTCGCGAAACTTTCTCAAATCTTTCTATAAAATTATAATTACATTTAAATAAGTTGAAGAAATTAAAAAATCATTATGTTCTATTTGGTAGACTGGATCATTATAAAAGGCCACCTAGTCGCGATAGTTCTGTAGATCGTTTCGCCAGAGCGCATTCCCGGTTGATTGGATCGAGACAGCCATCCGTCGATAAAACTATATCCAATCTACCCTCGGATATCCCCGATAGGTGTGTATAATATACATACATTGATATATTTTAATTGAAATTTAATTTAATGATTGATAAGTATTGTATTTCATCGTATTTTACTGTATTTCCGTATATATGTTGTCACATAATTGACAAATTGCTCTCTCTCTCTCTCTCTCCCCCCCCTCTCCCCCTCCCCCCTCCCCCCTCTCTCTCTCTCTCTCTCTCGCTCTGCCTCCTTCTTCTCTTTTTTCTCTCTATTTAATTATTTTTATTCTTGCACGTATCTCTATCATTACTAACGCATTACAACTTAGCATTGTTACATTTATGCGTTTCTTTTCTTTTACAATTGGGATTTGTTGACAAAGCATGAAATATCGATTTGTAAGATAAGAAAAAGTGGATTTTAATTATACAATACATATCATTATATGTAGCAATTACATATTTGCAAATATAAAGCTAAATATACATATGTGGTGTTATGTTTATAACAATAACATAAAAACGAATGTGAAATATGTTATTATATTCATTAGTCATTACTCTGCCCTCATACTCGAATCTTTTGTGGCTGCGAAATATTATTATAATATATTTGGAAAAAGAAGATTTATAAAGAGAAAAATCTATATTTAAAATTGCTACGCCATCTTCTTCTTCTTCTTCTCTTTAAGAGTTTAAAAACTCTACATTTTATATAGAATTGAGAAATATTCTTTGCTCATTGAAACAATTGTTTATTAGAATAATTTTTTTTGTTTTGTACAATGAATAGATCGACGAGAGCTCCGAGTGTGATTCGAGCGGGTACACCTCTAAACGGTTCTGTAATAGGCAGCGGCGCTGCGACGCCAACGTACGCAGCACCGACTCCCAACCAATTTGAAGGGGCTTTTATAAAAAATCGTAATCTTGGACAAGACATTTTGCCGAGTCCTGGACAACCTAAACGCACCGAAAGTCTCTATGTGGCTCCGACTCGTGGACCGTCCGGGAGCGGGGGTGGTGGTGGTGGTGGTGGCGGCGGCGGCGGCGGCGGCGGCGGCGGCGGCGGCGGCGGCATTGTGCCGAAGGTGAGTCTTTATTTTCTCACATTTACTCTTGGCTACATATTATACATATATGATATATACACGCGCGCGTGCAGTATTTTAATAATTTTGTGCGTGAGCGAATGTGTGTGTGTGTGTGTGTGTGTGTGTGTGTGTGTGTGTCTCCAATGTATAAATGTATAATACATAAACATACTTTCGCCGCGTTTGCATATATTTACACTATTTACACACATACATACGTCTTGTGCACTAATGATGTCTAAGCATTTATTAAAAAAAAAAGATTACAAATATATGTGCGGGCGCGCATATGTATAATATATTGATATTTCGATATATAAATCTCTATAAGTAGAGTATATTTGTATCTTTGATAGAAATCTTTGTACATAATATACATATATATGTTGTGATTGAAATAAATCTCAAAAGTTGCAAAATTTTTACCAAGTTACATGCATTGACGTCATCATACTGCATTTAACTGAATTACATTTATCTTGTTTATATAAGTTATATTTTTCCTTAATCGTTATACTTTTAAATCGTACGTTGCACCGATAGTTTTATACACGTATCGACATTATAAACGTCCGGAAGGTTTCTTTCGATACAATTAATTCGATACAATTATTATTACTTTCAATACAATTATATTAATTTATTATCGTTTATTCACTTGGATGCAAAAGCAATAAAGGCAATTTGTTATTTAAATTTTGATTTTTTATACGAATAAATTCTTTAAAACGATTTCTCGCAAATTACAAAGGTTTATGTTCGGTGAAGCGATTTGTTTGGCGTTCAGTCTGTTGAAACATAAAGTGAAACGCCTTTCCAGAATCAAAATCGAAAATGATTTCGACGTTAATTATACACATTAATGATACGTTAATTAAACAAGATTACAATTTTTACTAATGTTGAAGTGTCAATGACTTTACATTGCGCATGCAAAAATATACACGTATCGCATACATCGCGAATGATATTAAATTTGAATTTTTTCTTCATATAAAACATATAAAAGTGGTCGACAAATTTTTGTCGAATTAACCAAATTTTTCCATTAGAAAATCCTTTTCTAAAATCTCAGTTTTTTGAAATCCAAAAATTAATCTGTCAAGTATTTCTTTTTTTCACATCACATAATTATAAATATTTTGTGATAAACGAATCATTACCTGCATAATTGCCGTGCAAATTATATAAATAATTCTCAACAGTTTTTTATAACAATAAATATAAATACAAACGATTATATGCTCAATATTCATGATAAACGCATAATTAACATCGAATTATATTCGAAATTTTCGTAATGCATCAAAAATATATGACATTAATTTCGTATATTTCGCGAATACAACACTCCTCTGCTGCGAAATGTAAAAACAAAAACAATCATTTTCATAATTCAAATATAATCATCCTTTCTCCTTTTCTTGTTTTCTTCTCTGTATTTTTTATATCAATATACTTTAATATATAAAATTTATCTCGAATACTTTTCCCTCGCGCCTGCATTTTCGACGCACTACCATTTTCTCCCCCCTTTTTTCCTATTAAAATTTGTCTCAACACTCATCTTTTTTATCTACTAGCGTTATCTATTTGTATCTTTTCTTCTCTCTGTCTCTGTTTGTCTTTCTGTGTAACTGTGTGGCGTTTTGTGCTGTGTTTTGTGCATGCTATCCCAGGAAGCAGGCCGGACTGTCCCCGCCTTCACCGCAACGTCAAAGGGCCGCGCAACCCTATAAGTATAAGTATAAAATATGTATCCACAAGACGATACACATACACACACATACACACACACATTTATGTGTATATGTACACACACACACACACACACACACACACACACACACACAGCAGAGAAAGAAAGCGCAGTTTCGGAGAGACTCATTTACGCCGCATTTCGAAACGACTGAAAATTACAATGTGATTTTGATCGTTTCCGCCCGATACATCCTAATATTGAATAATTCAGTACTTTAATTCAGGAAATTAAGGTCCGATAATTATCCGTCTCGAAATAATTTTGAATACAATACGCAATTCTGACGCCGCCGCATCTCCTTCGCCGTGAGGTGATGATATTTTTCTATAAATTTACGAATATTTCATACAATGTTATCTTAATTAACAAGCATGCGATTGTAATATCCCAATATTTGAATGTCGAAATCGTTAATTGTGCAGAGTTGTCGCATGCACGAACCTCTGCGCAGAATCGACTCGTTGTGTTTCTCGTTGAACTCGTTATATTTTGCAATTTACTTGATGTAAGACAGATTTTCAGAAAGGGGCCTTATACGAAAAAATGAGAAGAAATTTTAATAACGATCACATTTTTCACGCTACCAAGTTTTCGTAACATTATGAGGAACGGGAAAGTGCTTGTGCCTGTGTAAATTGTTCTTAGCCCTTATCTTTATCGCGATATCAAACGATAAAAATGCTCGTCGATTGATAAAAACTTTAATTAAAATAGTAAGTGTATTGGAAACGAACGATGTACATATGTATTTGTGGAAGACAGATTATTTTTCTATGCAAACATTACAGTATAGTGTAATACGAATCATTATCTCCATCTACAACTACCATCGATTTGATCGATTGATTATTTAATCTTACAACAAAGTCGTAATGGCGTCTCGATTTAACGATAGCAACGATAACAATTGTACGATATAAATGTGACGTGATAACAATTCAAATAATTTACTCAAAATACCATTGCGTAATAAGTTTTAGAGTGCATAGAGAAACATAGTAGACATTCCGTTTAATTCGCTGCAACAGTTTTTGCTATGATGATAAAGAGAGCGCAGATTAAATAATTTTAGCAATTAAAATGTAGCCGAGAAAAATTAGTGATGTATGTTAGAGATTTCGAGATATCTTAAATCGCGCATATGTTGCATCTTGGTTGAGATAGAGAAATATTAATAAAAAAAAGAAAATTTACCGCAAACTATAGATTTTGTAAACTGTTTGAAAATGTAAGTTAGCGATACAATATCGTTTTATTGAATCGATTCGACACGCAAATAGTACTCGTGCGGGATAATATGCGCAGTCACCAAACAATAATGTAACATCTTTCAGCAAAAGGAAGCAATTCTTGCAAAATGCCCTCTGACTTATTTTTCCGTTAGATAATTTATAAGTCAAATATAAGATTATTAATAATTTACGCAATAAAGAGAGAGAGAGAGAGAGAGAGAGAGAGAGAAAGAGAGCGAGAGAGAGGGAGGGAAAGAGAGAAGGGAAAAAAAAAGAAATATAAAAGTGTGTAATTACGAGTTTAAAAAGTGGATACGTATATCTTTGCGTATGTACAATATATATGTATTATATATATATATGTGCGTATAAATGTTTCCGTAGACCTAACAATATATTATAATGTCGGAGTGACATGGGTGGCCTAAAAACTTTAAGTAAAATGACTAAAAGTAATTTTCTATTTTACAACTTTTCTACATAAATCTACGATTTTTATTTTTTACAAATATAACTCTGCATATATATATATATATATATATATATATATATATATATATATATATAAATTAAATACGCACATATGAGAACATATATATATATATGTATACATATATATATATACACACATATATATATATATGTGTGTGTGTGTGTGTGTGTGTGTGTGTGTGTATGTATGTGTGTATGTATGTGTATATATATATATATATATATATATATATATATGTAAAACTAAATCAGCGCACAATGTCTATTAATTGTGCTAATTAACAAAATTTGAAAGGTAAGCTTGGTGCGTGGCGTGGAGGCGGGGACCATTTTTGCTTTTCGATTCTACTTTATCCTCTTTAACTAAATGTTAAGCCTTTTTCGATCCTTCTTTCGAACCTTATCGCTATCCATCTATTTACTAATCATTTCTGTATTATTCGCTTAGATTATTTGATCGATTGATCCTACCGGCTTCATTTCTGTATTCTAAGGTATTATAACTAGCTCTGTTTCTAGTTTGTAGTGAAACATCTTCCGTGTTCAAATCCTCAATCGGAATGGCTTCTGCTGGATCTAACTTATTACAAATTACTATTGCTATTATAGAAACGAATTATTAGCTGTATTACTTGTATATTATCATATTATCACGCCAAGAGATCAAAGCAGAGTTCAAATGATCGTTTTGCGAGAGACTCTCTTATTGTCCATCACCTCCACGCCGCTTGTTTTTCCTTTTTTCTTATTCGAGAGATTGTTTTTCTCTAACGCATGCTTATCGTGAATTTAAATCTATACATTTACACACAGAAACTCGTTAAAATAAAATGAGAGGTGACAGAGTAAACCTCACTTGATACAAAGCGAGCCTTAAAGAATCTTAAATCTACGATGTTAATCATCAAAATTGGTATATTTTATATACGCGGTACATTATACTACTACGTTACTTGTTTCATCATTTACTATGTCGCGCAGACATATCTACGCATTATACGATAATTTGCCATCTATAGGTAACATGAAAAAAAAATGCGTGCCGAATGCTTATTTCCTATGCGTGAGAATTGAACGTTTGAGGGAAAAAAGAAAGAGAGACAACAAGAATTTCACGATCGTCTGTATTAAATTTATTTATGACGTCTATTCTTTTCACACATGAAGAATATCCAAGCTACACACACGCACACACATGTATATATATTTACTCGCACTTGTGAGTGCGTGCGTGCGTGCGTGCGTGTGTGTGTATGTATCGCGAATATGTTTCGTGTAAATAAAGCTAATAAATCTATATGCAGATTATATATAACGAAATTATGTACAATTATGTAATAAGATTAAGACCGATTTTGCCAACAATAATCTAATCTTAACATTAACCGATTAATTTTTACGCGATCTTTACAATTGCTATGTCGAATTTCTAATCGACAGAAATTACCGAGGACGACGCAAACAAAAAAAAGGCGAACGAGGCATTATCCTCCAAGATTTTCGATTAAGCTATTATAGAAAGGAATACTCGCTATTTTTCTATACAGGGTCGATTTAACAATTTCTAATATATGTGCATTAACATTTTATGTTAAATTATAAATCATATTTTTGACAATAACGAAAGAATGCGGCGAGAAAAGATTTATCATCATTTGTGTAAACGCGCAAATGTGATTCTGAATGCAACGTTATTAAACAAGAGATTGAATTCTGAGAGTCAAGTCGTTAATCTATTCATGTGTTCAGATTACTCGCTTATAAATGAATCATAATTAGTATATCGCGCAAATAAGGAATAGAGTACGAGAGAGGTGTAATATGTATAATAAAATGTATTCCTTTGTCAATATAATATACAAATAGTTGTCGATATAAATATATTTTTCCTACTCTCTCGTACTCTTGAGAGTGCCAATCTTGTCAATAATTATTTTGTTCAATGTAACAAGAGCTTTTCTAGATATTTAGCAGAGTAGTCATATTTTAATTTTTAAAATATAGCATACAGATGCACAATTATTTATATATAAATACGCGATCATATAGATGTGTGTAGAAAATGTCACAAATGAAGATGTGACAACAAATATGATATTGTGCGCATTCGATAAATTTTCAAATCATATTTTGGACAAGATCGATCTTTATGTAGAAACTGTATCGACTTCCGTTTACCAAATAACGATATTGCAAACGTTAATTCAATGTAATTAAATGTAATTAAATATATTTATGTATATCATATATATAAAAGAACTTATTGTGTGCTTACGACAAATTAAACAACATCGCATAAATCGGATTTTCTTTTATCGGAATGTCTTTGTTTATTACTTTCTTAAAAGAGTTAATAAAAAAATATTAATCACACACACACACACACACACACACACACACACATATTATATATATATATATATATATATATATATATATATGATTAATATTTTATATACACACACACACACATTCAGTCATATTTTCCAAGCTTTATGCATATGTGTGTGTGTGTGTGAATGTTAAAAAATCAATACACACAAATTTAATGTTAAAAATCAATTAAATGATGGGAAATTGAAATATATCCATAAGCATTTTACACACATGATAAGACTTACTGTTGATGTCGAATATGCGCAATTATAATATTCGACAAGGAGTGAAAGTTTTGTAGAAAAAATGATAAGACATGTAAAGATTTGCGAAATCGCGCAATCAATGAAAAATACGATCATATGCACATCCGTGACTCGAGAATAATGGAATGCTTCCGATGTTTATATTTTTCTCATTATCATTAATCTTAAAAATTGTGTCAAGTCTTTGTTATTTGCAATAATATATCTTTGCGTAAACATATGCTTATACATTCCATCGAAATATCTAAGCCGCGCGAGTCTTTAAAATTTTAACGGAAAATTTGTTTACGGATAAATAAATATAATCGTTTATGTATTAATTATAATCATATATGATTTATTATCATATTTGATTGAATGCAGACAATTTTTTGTCGAAAAGCGAATATAATTATAATCATAAGAGAATATTGCGATATATGTATTTACGCCATTTTCGAAACTAATTAAGCGCGTTGCATCTGTCAGTCTATTATTTCGGGAGAAAGAAATTGCAAGTAAATAAGACGAGCTTCTTCCTGGCAAAGAAGAAAATCTTGAAATTCTTGCCGGATTTATTCATGGCATGCTAAATACATGACTCATAGGTGATTCGTTGTTGGACTCACTTTACATATGTATTACACGCGCGGTCGGGCAAAATTGACGCATTGTATCTTACATGATTCGAAATTTTTTTTATCACATATTTTGCTATCTTAAGCTTGGAAAAAATTTAACTTTGAAGTAGCTTTAAAAACTGGGGAAAATTGAAGACCTTAAGCATCAATCGCGAAATTGCAAAGATCGTCTTTGGCAGTGTCCCGACGCAGATCTCCGCGAGCGTCGCGACGCTCGGCAAAGTTATTTCGAAAATAGTGGGGCGTCGCTCTATTTCGGTCGTGCTAGGCAGGGCTGGCCATTTAGTCTACGGCCTGGCTTTCTTACTAGGAAGCTGCGTATCCGAAAATTTCACACTAGCCTCTTTCGTGCTTTTCGCTGAAAATCAAAAGACCATCGAGTCGTAAGACGATAGACACGAGAAGGAGATTCTTATCATCGAATATACAATCATACGCTCGCGCGCAAGACACTTTTGGTCCAGACGAGTGTAAAAACGGAAGATCAGCTAGCTATAATTATTGCTTCCAAGCTCAATCCAGAAGTAACGTGGATTCGAAGAATCGAGATGTCGGCTTGATTTCACCTCAACATGCAAAAGTGTAACAGCATATTAAAATTTAATGATTAATCACAATACGTGATAACAGATGCAGTCGCGTTTGCAAATGATACTCGATTAAGCAAATCTGTGACGATGGAAGAAAACTATTTGAATCTCATCAATGAGCACACCGATTGATATAATTCAACGACACAAATTGTGTAAGCGTATTCACTATCACATATATATAAGGTAACAAATATTTGTCAACTCTACACTTGTAGAGAAATATTTATCAAGCATGCCATATATATATATATATATATATATATGGCATATATATATATATAAATAATTACACACACGCACATATACGCACGCACGCACGCACACGCACACACAATCAAACGGACAAACAGCAATGATACAAAAAAACTTAAATCATAAGAAACAGCAATAATTCTCATCTCCGCAGATAGTTAAAAGCCTGCGAGATTTTAAAACAACTTGAAGATACCTGCTTACTGTGAGAAAGCAAACATGTTTTGGATCGAGTCTGATGAAGAGGAAGAGGCGTTGCTATGCAGTCCTGCTTTGATGGCTCGACGAGCCTCAGAGTCTTGGATCGTTGCACCTCCCGTAGAGGTACGCCAGACAAAAATTTACCCTCGACAAAAAATGTGTAAATAACGTGAGAAAATTTGGAAGATACAACGAAAGAATGAGAAAATAAGAAACAACAAATTGGGGAAAAATATTATTTATTCGCAGTCGTTGTATGATGGATTCTACCCGTGTTTAGCGATGATATATGCACGACAAAGCGTAAAATGAAAATTTACAAGTAAAATGCGTAATATCCGGAAAGAATAAAAAAGTTAATAAATATGGCGCGTGTAAAATATCGTATCGTTTAATTCTGCCCTCGTTAAAAAGATCGCGCAATTTTTGTAAAAAAAAGACGATAGCGCGCACGAATAACGCTCGATCAGCGCGAAAAACAGAAAAAGCTCTTTACAAGATAATTTATGCATATATATAGAATAATTTAAATATGCAATATATTTTATGTGTTTACATGGTATGTATCACGAGAGATGAAACGTACACAATTATGCAATCTTTGGCGAGAACTTTGCTGAACAATTATTGCACAACGGATTTAGAATGTCTTGTGCGGAAACTCGTACAAAATTTTCTCATAATAACGATATATATGTATATACACATATGCATTCTTTCCTTGAAGGAAAAGGAAGGAAAATCAACGTGTGTAAATTTTTTAACCTTAATTCAGTTGAAACTATCTTTTTATGTTATTTATTTTACAAAAAGTAACCGTAAAACAGATGATAAATATGTTTCATCTTATATGTGTAAGTCTTGAAGAATGTTGTTATGCAATCATCTAGTGCCAGACCAGGAAAATGTGACTAAAACTCAATTTTGTTATCATTACATCAGTCATTACATAGGATTCGAAACTTTAAGGCCTTTGAATTTGAAACAGCTCCAAAGATTCTGTGTTCTGCTTATGCCAATAACTTTTTCCTTGTCACTCGTTGAGTTTGCGTTAAATTCTGAATTAACAAAACACGCATAACGTTTCTACAAATCTATACGACTATCTTTTAATTACATTGAACATTATTCTATTCGATTTTATAAAAAAATTCTACCGGGTTATCGATCCAGATAAGATTCAAATTAAATAAATCGTGATTATATATAATGGCCATTTTATGTAAAATAAATGAAGATATTCTGTTGTCTAGATGGACAATGATTGAGAATTTAATAATGGTAACATTTGTAAAACGATATAAAAAAAAAACAAATTGATATCACAAATTGATTAATTTTGTTATCAGACTAGCAAGACAAAACTAAACAAAATTACAAAAAAGAAAGCGCTCGTTTAAGTGATTGCTTAATTACGTATATATACAATGTGTACGTGAGTGTATGTGTAAAGAGAATACATATATGTATAAAGAGAGAGAGATATAGCTCTAATATAAACAAAAAGCTTGGAAAGAATAAAGAAAAACATATGTTGAATTAGTAGTGTTTGACAGACAGATGCACGCTTTCGTTCAAAAGTGATTTGCCCTATTTTATAAAGGCTTAAATCAGTATTAAATTTAGTTAAATGTATTTCAATATTTAATTAAATTAAATGTATTAATATAAATTGTAAAGCACGCATGTTCGCGTAACCGTTTTTTGAACGTTAGAATCTCTTAAAGACATGTTTGATCAAATCAATTATATGTTGCTCGGAGAATAGACTTGATACTATTTCCCCATATTCTTGTCAAATATAGTAGTAATGTTTAAACTACATGTATAATAACACTCACCCTGAGAGACTATATAACTCCATTTTCTCTTTTTCCTCTGTATGCCTTTATAATACATACATATATATTAATGTACCAATGTGTATATAATTGTCGATAAGTAATCACGCATTCTCTTGTTCAAAAAAACCCATCTCTCTCTCTCTCTCTCTCTCTCTCTCTCTCTCTCTCTCTCTCTCTCTCTCTCTCTCTCTTTGTTTTTTGTTTACTTCCTTTGTGCAGGCGATGCCGACAACGGCAATGCCCCTTCAACGAAAAAAGTCACTGCCGGACGTGGCGCAGCCGATTCAGCTCACAGCTACGGCACCATTGTCGAGGGAAGAAGTTAGTATCTTGAGCAGTTTGAGGAGAGAGGAGATCCGCAGGCAGATCGACGAAAGTGAGAGGCTCAGAGCCAATCCGCTTTTATATCTAGTCAGTCCTCAGGTTAAAGTGAGTATCTATCCTTCGTGTTTACATCTATTTACAACTGTCGAAATTGTTTGTTGAGAAACTGCATTCGTGACGAAGACAATGCGACAATCGCTCCGAAAATATTGCGAGATAAAACGATATCTGGGCAGAATATGTTACAGTTTATAAACGATATTATATGTATATCGATTCTCGCGCGTCTCTCATATCGATAAACTGTGCGGCGAGATTATAATTGTTTCTAATGCAAAATCAACATTATCAAAATCAACATTAGTTTTTACATGTCACAAAAAGAGAATAAATAAGTATGCAATTTATACATCTTGATAAAATCACGTAAAATGATGATGTAAAGATATATAAATAAATACGCGATTATATGAAACAGCAATTGCACATCGTGTCACAAACGCAATTTCGTTAATTAACAAATAATGGATATCAATCTCGCCAAAATTCGTGAGGCAACGAGCGACAAAGCTTAACGTAACGCATAATCGTTCGAAGACAGACACTTGCATAATGTAATAATATATAATGTGCCGTACACTTTCAGGACTGGTTCTCTCGACAACAACTCGTGATGCTGGTGCTCTTTATCAACATATCCTTAGCCTTGATGTTCTTCAAATTGCTGACGTAGCAGCCAGCCGATGATCGGGTTCACGGATTCGTGGTGGACGTGACCTGAAACCCGACGTCGCGACGTCTTGGATCGTTACCGAGTCAAAATTTCGACAGAGGACGAAACGTAAAACGTAGGGTATGGCCGCACCAAGAATCGCTGGAAAACGACTTTCGTGAGCGATTTACTCGGTTGTTTGCGCGTCGCGAGCATTTTGCGAAAAGAAAGAAATTTGAATCGATACGAACGGCAAACTCACAGAGAATCACACTTTAGCGAGGATTTTTAAAGAGGATCGTGATTTAAATTTCAAACGATTGCTAATTAAACGAAAAACAAAGAGAGCAACGAGAGCATCCTTCTGAGATATATCGTGTGAAACTACGATATAGATTCATCTTCAAATATTGTAAGATAAAAAGGGCTTAAGCGCGTCGAGAAAAAAAGGGAGTAAAGAGCAAGAGTAGTTTAAGGAGAGTCGGTTTAAATGGTAGTGCACTTTCGAGAAATAACACAATGTAGTAAATAATACAATGGGGACATAAAATTTAATGTTCCGCCTATGATAAAGCTTTTTTTCGATTTGAAAATTTGACGCACAAGTCCTTTTTAGTCGACACGATGCTCGGAGAAAGGGAAAATTTTTACGAAAAACGAAGCGCGGTTTGTTACAGTCTCCGCGGGAAGGAGATACACACAAGACAACAACAAGAATTATCCTTTGAAAATTGATTGCGCAAATCCCGCGCATCATCCCGCAACGCCCGTGTATTATTATACATACTCTATATTTTTACACCAAATATTTTAATAACATTGTACTACTTGTTAAGGAAAGATCGACTCCGACTTTGGACGGATCGATGCGATATACGCAAATCCTTCAAAATTTTTTCCGACGATCGACTCGAGCGCAGTAATAGCGACGATTGAATTGTACTCGATCGAATTTTTCAATAAGTTAGCCACTTGTCTAGGAATGTCGACTGTCCGTCTTCTTCTCTCGTCAATATTACGGTCGGTATATATTTATTACATATAATCGATTTGAAAAGCAGTCTTAAAAATTAAAAACGAAGAATTCGTATTTATACGTAACAATTATAATATATTTTAGCAACGATCGTAATTGCAGCCATGATGCTGTACGCGATATATAAAGGATAGATAAAAGATTTAATATGTATTCGAGCATTTATTTATTACGTGCATCATAGAATATGCAATTACAATTAATTGCAGTAAATTTGTAAGATTATCGTAAAGTAGAAAGAGTAATCTTCTAACTTGTACGCAAACTTTGAAGAATTACATATGTCTATATATATACATATGCATATATATATATATATATATATATATATATATAGTTGTATAGTTATACCATTATTAGATATCGCGACGATGAGATTTTTTGAATCTTCATCATACGCGTTTCCCGTTTTAGTTCTCTTCAAGTTCAAGCGGCTAATAAAATAAATGTGTAAATCCAAGATGAGAGATCGAAAATGACACATTTCGAATCATCGATGTAAAAGCTTGAGATTGTTTTCACGATAATTCAGTCATCGGCATTGTGATAATTGAGTTACGTACGCAGAATTATCATCGCGATAATATTATTCATCGAAACGGTAACGCGATTCTTTCGTACGTCAAAATTGCGAAATAAATATGATTTTGCTCTCGACGAGATCTCGGAAGGTGATCCGTAACTATATTCGAGTCTAGTAAAAATTAATATCATAAACGCTTTTTGTGTCTCCACATATTTACAGTCTCGTTCATCTCGTATTTTACGAAAATGTAGAAACGCGAGAATTATCTCGCGTATTTTACATTTCCTTTTCCATTTTGCGATTAATGATCGATCTTTCTGCGCTCGAGTGACCACAGTTTTCTAGCCTCGGGAGCATAGTGTGTCATATCTTTAAATAAATTTGTAAATAATGGTACAAAAGCGTCGATTGCGCAAGTTTTGTACATTCTACACGACACCGTTCTCGCGCTCTCAATGCAAATTTGACCGACAAGCATAAAGCATCAAAGAGTCGAAATCACCTTACCACTCAAAAGTTGTTGCTCTTTTTTGCATGATAAAACTAAGCTTCCTATATATTGTGCTTTCTGACAGTGCCAATGACACAGCTAGTACTTCCGCGAGAATAAATACGATTGGCGACTTAGCCAAAGTAAATTCACTTTTGATCATGCTCTAAATCGAAAAATCCTGGTTTGAGCGCGAGCACGTGATGCGAATGATCCAAAGATAATGTAAAATACTCGATTAAGATATAAAAGGCGATATTTTTGACGCTATTGAGAATGCAAAAAGCATGAAATACCATTATTCTCATTGTTGAGGGGTACAGTTTTTTTTAAATAAACTGGACAAACTCATTTTATAGGCTATAGATTTGTAATGTTGACTTTACAAATTTGACATTTGTTCTATAACTTGATAATACAAGAGAAATATTATAATTTATGTATCGGAGCGTTTCTGGCTCCGATATCATATACATAATATAATACATAAAAGAATGTTAAACTGAGGGGAGTGTCAAAAATGTCACGTGTAAATTTAGCTTAACTAAAAACGAATATCTTAACTTTAAAGAGAAAGTCATATAGAAGAAGAAATCGGAAGAAGAGAATATGTTGGATGTTCCGGCTGAAGAGAAGGACCAACGTGACTTTTTGTCACGAGGTGCATTCGCATGTAGAGATACTATAGTTATTATCATATACGCACATTCGTCGTTACGGGGTCACATGTATCGTGTGCATATAAATAAATAGATAAATAAATACATATATATATATATATATATATATGTGTATATACACATATATATATATATATATATATATATATGTGTGTATATACATATACACACACACACACACACACATTTACATTTACGTACGTAATTAATTAATACCAAAGAAAAAAGCTATAGAATATTATTCGTAATATTATTGGTAGAATATCAACAAGAGATTAGGATGAAAAATAAAAAGAGACGGAAAATTATTTTTATCATCACACTTTCATCATTGGACAAGGAAAATTTATTTAATTTATAGTACAGAAAATTTGTTTGATGTACAGTTTTACTTATCAAATGGGGATTGATATATATATATATATATATATATCAATCCCCATATATATATATATATATATATATATATATATATATACATATATATATATAGCAATTTCTAATACCATGTCATAATATGCGTGTATGTATGTGTGTACACACACATACACATACTCTCTTTGACACTTTTTCTCCGAATCGAATACAAATGAATTCATTGCTCATATATATGCACATATATATGAGAAATCGCATGTATATTTTCTTCTTATTTATCTCTTAATATAATATCGTAGTTGGCGCGCATATTCCCTCCACCCCGTTATTATTATATATTATATTATATTATATTATATTATATTATATTATATTATATTATTATTATTATTATTACTACATTATACTACTGCTATTGTTACTATTACTGTTACTGTTACTACTACTACTACTATTACTACTATTACCACTACAACTGTTACTATTATTATTAATTATTCAAATTGCTATTATTATTATTATTATTATTATTATTATTATTATTATTATTATTATTATTATTATTATTATTATTATTATTATTATTATTATTATTATTATTATTATTATTATTATTATTATTATTATTATTATTATTATTATTATTATTATTATTATTATTATTATTATTATTATTATTATTATTATTACCATTATGGTTATCGCCTTATCATCTTTATATCAAAGATTTACGAATATTTAAAACGAAAAGATAAATGTGAAAGAAAAATTTTGGTACCTTGAAAAATATGCGATATACACACATGCGCGCGTCTCACACACACACACACACACACACACACACACACACACACACACACACACACACACACACACACACACACAAAGACAGAAACTATTAGAAAAAGAGACTTATTGTCATTGTTAATTCGCGCAAACAGTGATTCAATAAAAACTTGTATCATAATTGATAAACGATTCTATTACTGACATCATAACATATATATTTCGCTTTGTTATTCCTGTCAAATGTCTTGCAAAAGAAAAAGGATAAAACTTTAAGAAAGAATTCCGTCCTAATAATCTTCACTTTGACATAAGTTTTCAACAACATAATCCTAAATAGTTTTCAAAATGTTTTAGTCGTTGTTCTTATAGTTTATTAAAAAATTATCAACAAATGAAGTAAAGTAAACAAACGTTGAATTCCATATAAGCTTTACATTCCATATAATTATATTATTTCATATAAGCTGAGCTTTATCGAATATATAAATTGTATGTTATACATATACATATTTGTACACTTGGATATATACATGAGCGGAAATTTACACATTTAATTGATTTGGCAATTTTAAAATATTATTTTCAAATAATGTATAATTGTGACATAGATTAATTAGTACTAACAAATTTTAGTATCGTAAATAAATTACTTCTTTGATGACAACACTTTGCAAAAATTTCGTAATTCTCCATTATCGCATATATAATAAATTCCTGTAGACGTGCATTTCGAAAAAAAAATATCAAAAAGATTGTATCATTCAAATTGACAAACCAACTAAAAATGTAATAATGAGTTATATACTTGGATAAAAATCAAAACAAAATAATGAAACACAAGTAATAGATGTAATTTCAAGGATGAGAAAAGATATGAAAATAATATACAAATGGTGTAAGAGTTAAATTTGAGAAAAATCAAATTAACGCATTTAACAACTATTCGCATCATCAACTTTATTTGTTAATAATTTCTTAATAAACAATAAACAACGGCTAAAATTTTTACTCGGGATGAATAATCTTGACATAATCAGGTATTACAATCTTTTTTAGAGTTTTATCAAAAAGAGATGCAAACGAGATCAATGATAGTCATTAATTCTCCTCTTCCCTCCCCCCCTCTCTTTCTCTCTGTTGTAGTAGTAGAATTATCTATGTGTTTATATCGTGTTATTGAAGAAACGAGGACGCGCATTCGAATAGAGTCTTCCATTTTCTGCATACGCACGCATGCAACACACACACACACACACACACACACACACACACATTACAGACAAGTACTGAAAAAATACTACAATAAAATTTACGCAGTAAACATGCAAAATGTACCACATTAAAGTAAATGTTTTCTTGCATGTGCATGTTTATAACTTATAACGAATCGTCACATCTTTGAATATGCGTAGTTACCGAAGCCAGTCTTAAATCTCATAAACAAAGATCGTTGCAAAAGAGTGATATATTTAAGTGATATATTATCAATACCGTTACATTATACATATTACATTAAAAATTGAGAATTTCGAATGCATTCATACCGGATCAATTTGTACATGCGAAAAATAATTTCCAAATGAAAATAATATCCATGGCAATTTATTATAGCTGCTCGTATAAAATGTTAAACTTTAGCACGTATACTTATCGTACTCCAAATATACCGATATATGATTGGGAAGAGACAAGTGTATAAAAAGTCTAGAAATATATATCATTCCTCTTCTCTTTTATACATTTCTGTCTTTTTAGGGGCTATACACTTATGTTCAATTTTCGCAAAATTTGCCACGTTTAAAGTGTAAAATATTTTATGTCGTCATACTCTTAAATAGATTAGCAGCTGTAATCATACTATCGCTATTGTGAATAAAAGAGGAGCCGGGTTCTTTGTTTTCTTTGTGGCACTCGTATGGTATCTTTGCACTTTTCAAAATAGTTTCTCGCATATTCGTCATCCAAATTTGCAAAGAGAACTCGTCCCATTCTTTCCTTCATTTAGTGAATATTGCAACGTATGTTTATTTATATTAATAATATGAATAAGTTGCAAAAATATTTTCACATATAATATTCATGTTCTATATTTGATGTAGATTAATGATACGTTTATATTCGACATGTGCATACATGCGTTATTGTTCGATAAAAACTAGCGTTCATATAATTCATAATATTATTACAGCTACATTTTACTCGTTTGTAACATTTTAGTTATTTTTGGCGTCAGGATACTTATGGTGCAGATTTAATCGTGATTAAGCATCGAATAGAAATCTAATGGAATAGAAATAATTGATCGGAATCTGTGATTAATGCTAGGCTCGTTATAGTCATAATGGCACATTACAATACAACATCATATTAGATCATAAGAATTACTTGTTTAGCGTCATGAATTTTGATTTTAGGATACTGAGAGGTCGCACCAACA